CTTGGACAAATGCCGCTAAATGCCGCTGACTCTACCAGAGGGTCTGTCTTGGACAAATGCCCCTAAATGCCGCTGACTCTGCCAGAAGGTCTCTCTTGGACAAATGCCGCTAAATGCCGCTGACTCTGCCAGAAGGTGTGTCTTGGACAAATGCTGCTAAATGCCGCTGACTCTGCCAGAGGGTCTGTCTTGTAGAAATGCCGCTAAATGCCGCTGACTCTGCCAGAGGGTCTGTGTTGGACAAATGCCGCTAAATGCCGCTGACTCTACCAGAGGGTCTGTGCTGGCCAAATGCCGCTAAATGCTGCTGACTCTACCAGAGGGTCTGTCTTGGACAAATGCCGCTAAATGCCGCTGACTCTACCAGAGGGTCTGTCTTGGACAAATGCCGCTAAATGCCGCTGACTCTACCAGAGGGTCTGTCTTGGACAAATGCCGCTAAATGCCGCTGACTCTACCAGAGGGTCTGTCTTGGACAAATGCCGCTAAATGCCGCTGACTCTACCAGAGGGTGTGTGTTTGAAAAATGCCGCTAAATGCCGCTGACTCTACCAGAGGGTCTCTCTTGGACAAATGCCGCTAAATGCCGCTGACTCTACCAGAGGGTGTGTGTTTGACAAATGCCGCTAAATGCCGCTGACTCTACCAGAGGGTCTGTCTTGGACAAATGCCGCTAAATGCCGCTGACTCTACCAGAGGGTCTGTCTTGGACAAATGCCGCTAAATGCCGCTGACTCTACCAGAGGGTGTGTGTTTGAAAAATGCCGCTAAATGCCGCTGACTCTACCAGAGGGTCTCTCTTGGACAAATGCCGCTAAATGCCGCTGACTCTACCAGAGGGTGTGTGTTTGACAAATGCCGCTAAATGCCGCTGACTCTACCAGAGGGTCTGTCTTGGACAAATGCCGCTGACTCTACCAGAGGGTCTGTCTTGGACAAATGCCGCTAAATGCCGCTGACTCTACCAGAGGGTCTGTCTTGGACAAATGCCGCTAAATGCCGCTGACTCTACCAGAGGGTCTGTCTTGGACAAATGCCGCTAAATGCCGCTGACTCTACCAGAGGGTCTGTGTTGGACAAATGCCGCTAAATGCCGCTGACTCTGCCAGAAGGTCTCTCTTGGACAAATGCCGCTAAATGCCGCTGACTCTGCCAGAGGGTGTGTCTTGGACAAATGCCGCTAAATGCCGCTGACTCTGCCAGAGGGTCTGTCTTGTAGAAATGCCGCTAAATGCCGCTGACTCTGCCAGAAGGTCTGTGTTGGACAAATGCCGCTAAATGCCGCTGACTCTACCAGAGGGTCTGTGCTGGCCAAATGCAGCTAAATGCAGCTGACTCTACCAGAGGGTCTGTCTTGGACAAATGCCGCTAAATGCCGCTGACTCTACCAGAGGGCCTGTGCTGGACAAATGCTGCTAAATGCCGCTGACTCTACCAGAGGGTCTGTCTTGGACAAATGCCGCTAAATGCCGCTGACTCTACCAGAGGGTCTGTCTTGGACAAATGCCGCTAAATGCCGCTGACTCTACCAGAGGGCCTGTGCTGGACAAAGCCGCTGAGTTTATCAGAGAGTCTGCCTTGGACAAATGCTGCTAAATGCAGCTGACTCTACCAGTGAGTCTGTGCTGGACAAATGTGATGGTATGATGTTGTTTGCCATGATTTTCGTGACAACTTACATGAAGGAATAGCCGCCTGTGACCTCAGGTTATTATGTTTCTGTATGAAAATTGTTCAATCTAGCCTTACCACTTATCATCACAAATAGGGTAAGTAAAAATGGAAAATCGATTTTTATAAAAATGTGTCTACTCATTTTTGTAAACCTTTTTTTACAATACAGTTTCTGTGACATAGAAGAACATGGAATCATAACGAGATACATAAAATGAATATTGTTGCTTAGATAGATTTCAATTTCAATAAATTTCTAATATATTGAACAATATAATTTTGAGATTTATTCTTCCGGGGTAAGGAGTGGATTTTCTAAATGTTAATTGTCAGTTTTCTGGTTGGAAATCCTGTTAACGTTTATATTCTTATCAGTAATCCTTATCATCTCTTTCAAACAACTGTGCAGTTGGTCAAAAGAGGACATCCTCCGATACTCTGGATTTTTCACCTAAACATGTGACACCTTCATATGGTATAATCCCAGGATTCTCACTTACATTTTAATCTACATAGGTCAAATGTTCTATTTTTTTTTCCTGACCATGAATCAATGCATAATCTACTGCGCAATGTAAATCCCTACTGTTATCGTGAACAATTAGAACCAATTTATTTCAGTCGTGCTATGCCCACGGAGTATTTTTTCTACTGTTCCACCACACAAAACAATATTATCACAGATAATTCAATTTATGCCCCGATGAGAATTGTTAATTTTTACACCTTCGGATAATCCCGCACAACCCAGCGCAGTCTGTCGCATATGCGCCTTTATCGCAGAGCAATTATTATATAATCCTTCATTGCGAAATCGCAACCCTTGGTGCATTTTACTGATCTTAACGCAATCAAAATCCTTGTTTTTGTTGCGCCATTTTTGTTAGCCTGGTAGTGCGGTGGGGAAAAAAACCCCACCACCCACCCTTTTCTTGGGGTTTTAGTTTTGTATTATTTTGCATTCTAATCAAAATTTGTATTTTTATTATAACTTGTTGTACGTTTCTAGGATTGGCGCAATTGTTTGGACCCCTCCAAGGATTAACTCAAGTATGGTATATTTTATGCATATTTACATGTAATCTGATATTTTCACTGCATGTAAATTTCTAGTCAGTCTCAGGGAGATCACACTTGTACCTTTCACATATGTACATGTATACAGTATTGCTTAATATTAGGTGATCCCCCTTCATGATTTGTTATACATTTTACTTTATGTCATTCAATTAAATGACATAATCGACAAAACTGCATCTCTATGTTTGGTTGTTTTTTACTGCTCTGTCAGGCTGATATTTCTCATAGGAGGCATAAAAACGTTTATCATTAAGTCAAATGCAGACTAAAGTTTTTCATACTAATTGTTAGCCTTGTATTTATAAACTGGCACTTCTATGGATTTCTTTTCGTTTTTCCTACCATGACAATGAGCAAAATGCGGGGAGACAGGTTAACAGAGGATGTTTACTCCTCCATGGCACATGATCCCAACTCTGATGTTTTAGTGGTCCTTGTTTGCTTTGCTCGAGAAATTGTATTGTTAAAATGGTCCTTTTATTGTGATTACGATACGTTCGTTGTCTTTGTATTTTATTGTTTGCTGTTTTCATGAAAAAGAGTTTTTAAAAACCCTTTGTAGGACACTTATGATAATTTAATTTATGATATTAAATTGCGCTTTTGCATTTCACGGTAGGCATCTTTTATGACATTACGTGCCTTGATAATTCATAGTGAGTTTGTGTATTTGCGTTATTTTGCTTATTTTATGATAAGATGGTAGTTTTTATCACATTTCTTAATATTTATCATATAAGAAAATGGTTTTATATTTTATGTTTTGCTTATATAAAAGTTTTTCATGCGATAATATTTCCATAAAGATAATTTTTAAAAAGTAAAATTAAACTAAAACATTTTTCGATGCATTTTGATAAATCATTTTAAATTGCATGAAATATATGGAGTAAACGATCAGTATTCAAGCTCAAAAGTTTGATAAGCAACACAAAATAGTTAGAAAGCAAACACGGACCTCCAAAACATCAAAGGTGGGATCAGGTGTCACAGAGGAGTGAGAAACCCCTGCCGATCCGTCACACCCGCCATGTGCTCCTTGTCATGATGATGTCAGGAAATAACGAAAAAAATCCGTCGTCAATTCAGTGTGTAAATAATGGCCTAGCATTTACAGGTGGTATGAAAAACGTCAATCAACATTTGACTCAATCATAAATATTTTTTGTTGCCAAGGTCATTGTATCGACCATAGAACATACGAAATGATGACTTTAAATATGACTGCTGATATTCTTGTTTCATCAACTTGTTTGTCAATAATTTACCTCCTTGAATTTGTTAATACGTAGAACATGTAAATGAATAATGTAAATGAATTTGTGGCATACTTGCTCTCTTTATGCTCATTGCAATTCTTTAAATATGAGACAAATGACCAAAACATATAATTCAAAATCATCATCATATCTTTAAATAATTGCAGAATTTAATGCATTTTTAAAATAAAATACTATACATAATAAAATTGAATAATTACCATTTAACAACCAAGGTACTACCCCCTTATAAAACAACAGCACCATGACATCATGAAATGACCAAAACATATAATTCAAAATCATCATCATATCCTTAGATAATTGCAGAATTTAATGCATTTTTAAAAATTACTAAGTAACTTCAGCATATTATGTAAAGTTCTATTTCATTAAAAGGTTAATCCTACATCTCAAGCTCATAGGATATCTTAATTATGAAGGAACCCCATATCATTTGATTTAAACATTATTTTTATATATATATAATTACCACAACATAGATGCAAAATTTCACATCTTATGAATACCAAAATCCTCTACAAGACGGAAGTGTACCATCTACTTGAATACAAGTCCATCAAATATATTTAGAAAATAATCAAGTGTTTGTGTTTTTACCCTTTGAATATTAGTGTTAGTTATACACTTTCTGCAAAGTTAATTACATATTTTCTGAAATCAACCATTCATGTACATGTTCGTCAAGTATTTCACAGTCCACATTGAGAAAGTGATAGAATGCGGAACCTTTTTCTTCCGAACATACACAGAAGACCGAGGGACGTGAATATATTAGAATAAGCTCATGCTTTTTTAGAAAAACATATTAATACAAATACCTATAAATACTTTAGGTATGAGAATAGCACACGAGCATGCAGATAATTTCACATTTTATATAAACTTTTATCTCCCAGTTCTAGTACTCGTATCGTTTCGTTGAACTTTGCGTGATTTTACGCTACCAAGGTAACATATATAAGGGATTGCACTAAAAGTTGGAATCAGTCTTCACATTATCTAGAGGAGTAAACGTCACAATGAAGGTCATTCTGGTACTCGCTGTTGTTGTTGTTGCAGGTACAGATGCTTTTTTTCATAATATCTTATCTTTTTCCCCAAAACTTTAACGTATTCATATCTGAAAACCAATGTTTTTTACCGATTTACTGAACAATTTAGTTCGACTTTTAATTTTACTAAACAGTTGCAAGTAAACCCGAGTAAAGAATTCATTTAAGATAAAACATTTTGTTTTAAAAAGTTTTTTTTTAATTATTCCACACTCTCTTGTTATATTTTCATGATATAAGCGTAATTTTAATTTAAATTTGCCATAATGTAACGAGAAAAAACATTCATGTATCCTTTTTTGCATATTTTATGTAACCTGAGGCGATTACTCAAATGCATGCATGATGGAAATTTTCTTATAGTAATTCGTCCATTGTCTCTCTTGTAAACTTTTGAAATTTTCATCTACAGAACAGCTTGCCCAATTTCAGCCAAACTTGGCATAGAGTTTTCTTGTGTGAGGTGCTTTAATTTTTTCGCTATATAAAGGGATCATACTCTATTACCTATACATGTGTACTAAGAAAATTAAGGAATCGTAATAAGTGTAAGTGTTGGTCTAAAAATTTTCTAGTCAACATCCACTACGCCAGAAAAGATGAAACTTTTCTGAAACTTCCTGACATGGTGTATTTTAAAGCTTGTTCTAAAAGTATGCATGTAAGTAGGGTGAGGCTACAATAGGCATTCAATGTTTTACAAATATTCTTTAAGAAACTTCTTCTCAAGAACGGCTACGCCATCGTTACTCATATTTATGTGTTAGCACTTTTTGGAAGTATATAATTCATTCAAATTATGAGCATGGTGTTAATTGTTAAAAAGAAAGTCCTTAGATTATATGGAATCATCCTCTGGTTATGTAGACTCTAGCACATCTTTTCCAAAATAACAACCGCTGGGGTAGGATGCGCTCACAATAAATTTAACATAGGAATATATACGGAGAAATATCTGCTGAAGAAGTACAGAAGGGGCTTTGAGAATCAAATGCGCAGATCAAATTATGGCTTATTGACCTTCTGATTTTAAAGATTTTCCCTTTACCATCTATAGTTATCGAATTATTTTAAAATGATTATGACAAGGATGCTAAATCACCGGTAAGAGAATTTAGGGAAAGGCAAATCTGATCATTTATAGACCAAAAATGACTATTTAAACCTTTTAGGCGGAGTGTACACTTTTAATATAAAAATTTATTGTCGATGAGCTATGTGTAGTTAAAATTCACGTTGTTATTGCTGTAATCTCTAGCTTATGCTGAGTCTTGTACCAGGCCTGGAGACTGCACAGCTACAAACTGCGGGGGCGGATCTGAACTCCACTGTGTGGACGGTACCTGTACCTGTACAACCGCTGCCTCTGGTGACGGTAAATATACATACCTTCTGTTGTTGCACCTGTCATATTTATGTTCCTTGCAAAGAATAACGTATAACCTTTTTACAATCTTCTTTTTCAGGAGCTTGCACCTCGGTCGACGACTGTCACGGACGATGTGACCATGGACGTCGGCACCATTGTATCGACGGCCGATGCAGATGTACTCACTTCTAGATTTCTTTTTGTAATAAAATGCTTTGTAAATAGCCAATTCACGTTTTGTAAAATTGAAATTGTTTAAGAATTCACATGCATTTTGACAGGTTCCACTTTTGTATGTAAAAGTGTTTATATGGGTTAGTCATTTGCAAAATCATTTTGTTAAAAACATTCTGATTGTACAAACAAGCGCTCTGAAGTTAACATCAAGAAGATGCTTGAGTTTCTGATTGACAATATCTATGTGGATTTTGTAGACCAGGTCTTCCAACAATCTATTGGAATTCCCTTGGGTACGAATTGCACTCCGTTAATAGCAGACCTATTTTTGTACACAAATGAAGCTGAATTTGTCCAACATTTTATGCGTAAAGAGAAGAAAAACCTTTCTGAGGCCTTCAACTCGACATTTAGATACATGTATATCGATGACGTACTGTCAACTAACAATGGTGATTTCCATTCCTGTGTCGATACGATATATCCCAGTGAGCTTGAGATAAAAGATATCATAGATTTTGACACATCTGTGTCATATTTGAATATTTTACCTGAAAAAGATGATAAATGTAATCTAACACTCAAACTCTATGATAAACGCGATGACTTTAACTTTTCTATCGTTAACTTCCCTTACCTATGCAGCAATATACCTACATCCCCTGCATACGATGTTTATATCTCTCAGTTTATTTGATACGCAAGAGCAGTCTACGTATGAACAATTTCTCAAAACGAGGTAGATTACTGACATACAAGTTGATGAAACAAGAATATCATTACATTAAGTTATATGGTTGATACAATGACCTTGTCAGCAAACACAATTTATCATTGAGTCAAAGGCTGACTGACGTTTTTCATACTAAATGTTAGTCCATTATTTATACTCTTATCTAAATTGACGACGGATCTTTCAATTATTTCCCTATCATGACAAGGAGCACACGGCGGGTGTGACCGATTGGCAGGGGATGCTCACTCATCAACTGATCCCACCTCTGATGATTTGGAGGTCCGTGTTTGTTCTATTCCTATTTTGTTTTTATGGACTTTTTTTGTATTTTTTATGGACTTTTGATCTTGAATACCGTTCGTTATCTCTATATGTGTCATTCTTACTGCACAAAAAGACCTTCCTCGTATATAAAACTTGCTAAGTTTTTGATAACTGTGTAAACATGTACGGTTTAAGCATAATGTTAGGACCTGTCTAATTTCTACTGTGTACGTCTTAAAGGTTCATAAAGCGCGTAAGCTAGGTCCTACTACAAACTTATGTTAGAAAAATTAACCTATGGTTTATCATTTTATATAGATATATTGCTAAATGTCATTCAGTTAGGGTTTTAATATCCATACATATGTAAGTTGGAGTCCTTACCTATCGGTTTTAGTTATGTAAGATTAGATTTCGTATTAAAATTATAATTCTGTTATAAATTATTCGGAAATTTTGAAAACAAATGCTGCACGGTCAGAAAGTGGCGATTTTGTGGTTCATTGTAAATGTATGAGTATTGTGTTATCGGGACCCGTTTAATGACCTGGGGCTCGTAACATAAACCTTGCTAAGTTTTTGACTTAAGTAGGGTCATAAGTACGTTTTAGGCACAATCTTAGGACCTGCCTAAGTACTACTTAAGTATGTCTTAAACCGTAACATAAAGCGAACTTAGCTAGGTCCTAGCTAAGTCAAACTTATGTTCAGAAATACTTCTTATAATCAACCTATATTTTTTCATTTTATATAGATATATTGCTACAATGTCATTCAGTTACGGTTTTAATTAAATATTTATAAAGGTTGGACGTCCTTACCTATCGGTTTTAGTTATGTAAGATTAGATTTTATATTAAAATATAATTTAATTTGTGTAAAATACACTGCATATTTGATTAAACAAATGCTGCACGGTCACATAACGGTGATCTGTGGTTCATTGTAAATGTATGACTATTGTTTATCCCCCGAAGCTGCGATGTTTTCAGTTTACATTTCGTAACTCTTTTGTTTTGACAAATGTTCACTTACCATGTTATCACAGAAAAGACAATATAACCGACCGTCTATCTAATTGAAATTGAAACTCTAAAAAGTCCAATACATTTTGAATCCCCCCATGTATCAGGCCATGCATGTCAGAAGAAAAGACTGCAGAGGTTTAATGATACAATCATTTGCAATTTAATCACGGATACAGAAAAAATTCAGGGAATATTTTTTTCGTATGTCTCCAATTATAAACAATTCTCTCTGTCTCAAGGCCTCTCTCTCTCTCTCTCTCTCTCTCTCTCGATCGATCGATCGATCGAACAGTACAGTAGCGCCCCCCCCCCCAAATAAAAAACGGAAAACTGAAATTATTAAATCAGCGTCAAATAAAGATAAGTATTTTCTTTAATGCCTAATATGAATAGAGGAATGTTTTAACATAGAAAATCAACGTTAAATAATTCTAAATATATGTATAAAAAAGTTAAGATACACTTAAGTCACCTCTACCGGCCGCCTAAGTTTTGCTAAGATTGCCAAATCTTAGTACGCTTCTAGTTACGGTCTTAAGTTTTAGACTGTACTTAATTCCTACTTAAGCACGGTCTTAGACTTAAGTAGCCTTTATGTTACAACCCCCTGGTTTATAAAAGGTACTTCACAAAGTTTAACTTCATTTATAGAATACTAACAAACACTTTAGCACTGTTTGTATTGAAAAAAGTTCAACTGGAAACGGAAATTTAAGACACAACGATATTTCATATTCTTTGTCTTTTACCTGACTGTACATGTACATACGGATGTATTCGTGTATTGGGTAAATTAAAAAAAAACGACCACCAAGCGGGAATTTTAAAAAAAAAATTCAGTTACTTATTTAAAATTTTCATTTAATTTTGATAATCACAAGAAATTATGGGGTTTATTCATGACTCAAAATGGTAACAGGGGTATAAATGATTAGATCTAACCTTAATTGAGTTTCCCTTCTTGTGAAAAAAATTGACTTTTTGATTGATATTTATTTTACACAAATTTTCAAATTCAATTCAAAGTTTTAATATGAAAAAAAAATATGTGGCAAATAAAATTCCCCAAATTTTAATTCATTTTTTAGTCTGCTGAAGTCAATTCTTAATATCTACGCCAAAAAAGAATTTTTATATGCGAGTTTTCTAACGGAAAAATGCTAGATTTTTAAGAGATCCTATTTACGTTAAAGTGTTGCACTCCTGATATCTGATATGTATTTTATTTAACATTGTTTCAAAAACTATAACACACAATAAACCATTCTTACTTTGTAAATAAATTTGTCGTTTTGATATTCTTCATTGTTAACGGCGCATTTTTTTTCATATTTTGAGGACTTAAAACATGCTTATTTTCAAAATTTGATATATATACATTGTACTAACAAGTATATTCAGGATGATGAAAACTATTTCCTGATTTAATTGTAAAATTTCTGTTATTTGTTGATAGACATGGTGTTTTGAACATCAAGTAGTATCAAACGTTTTTAACTTATTTTTAAGCATTGGGAATATTATAGAGCAGTTTTGTTGCACTCCTGAGTGCAGTAAACGAGTTTTCTAACGAAAAATTTAAACAATAGACCACAAAAATTCATAAAGTGCAACATCAAGCTGTAATGAAATTGTGCAATATCTATAGTCCAATACTTCATAATGAGAATTAAATATATATTTAGACAAAATGTATATATATTTTATAGCATATTTTCCTTTTGAGGACAAACACAGTTACACACCACCAAAATTCAACTTTATTTTTCATTATTTTTTATCACACCTCGGATGTTTTGGAAATCCGTGTTTGCTCTTCACACAACCTGACTATTTAAAGTACATGTAAAATTGTTGTACTCCTGACCATGGCAATATAGATCTGAAGCACAGACAGATCCTGTAACTGACCACACTTCAATAAACAAAATTTATTACAGTCTACGAAAATTCGTTTTTGTCTAAAATTTCTTTCACAATTTTACAATTCTGTTGCACTCCTGTCATGGTATAATGTGGTATATAAACATCTGTGTAAACCTCAGGCATGACCACTACCTAAATTGAACTATTCTCATAAAGAAATAGGAAAACACAGGTAGAAGATCGAACCCTCAGCCTATTTCTTTATCTTTACTACCCAAATACATGTACATGTAATCCCATTCCCTCCATAAATTTGAGTTAACGTCAACTAATGAAAAAGATGAAATAAGCTTTCTTTTTTTTTTTTTTTTTTAAATCGCTGATCAAAGTAACAAAAGCCAGTTGCTTTAAATGGGCCTGGACACAGTTTCAACTGATTTTTTAAAACCAGTTTTAATGTTCACAATTCCTATCTAAGACATCATCTATTGATTAGAAAAATATTGAGCATCATTTGTTGATTAACAAACAGGATACAGAACTTAAAGTTCTTCATAATGTAAACAAGGCTCGTGTCTTGTTTTTGTTTACAAATAGATAATATATTTATAACAAAATGAAGTTCAGCAAATCAATTGTAACTGTCAATCGTATTTAAAATTAACTTTTTTTAAAAATTATCTACTTCGAACGAACATATATTAGTATATCAACCTGTGTAAACAAATACATGACTTTAGCCTTACATAACAAAGGTTTGAAGCTCAAAATCTGTTTTGTATCTGGACAACTGGCGTTCAAATTTTTGATGATTATTAGAAAGACCCTAGTTGAATATTTGTAAAAATGGAAAAGGAATTTTGAAAATTTAGCTGAAACTGTGTCCATGCCCCTTTATCTCTGGCCACAGCAACTTTACAAAATTTAAAACAAATCAAAAATAAAATATAAAGTGCATGAATATTTTTGCATACAACTTTTTAAATAACTGTTTAAAAAAAAGCCATAATTTTTCCCATTTAAAAAAATCAAAATTTATAATATTTGAAAGTGCCTTGTAACACAGCTCAGTCGGTATAGCGCTATATATCCAGAGCAGCTCCGGTGGCACAATCGGTTAGCGCGCCGTACTTATAGACAGTACCTTCCCTGTGCTCACACAGGACGAGGAATGCGGAGGTTGTGAGTTCGAGCCTCACCCGGAGCAGCCGTATTTTTTCTGTTATTTTTTAAAACAAAATATCTGTGATAAAAAAGAGGAGATGAAATATTTATTTTATGATTCAGCGCAAGATATTTAAAATTTTCATCATTTTTCTATTCTGAGATGTTTAGTGCATGGTGTGCTATGATGGATAATATTGATTATGATGAAAATAAAATCAACGTATTCAATTAATGTTTGATTTGGATACAAAAATTGTCAATCATAATAAAACACTCTTGTGGAAGAACTTTATCAAAGCTTGTTTTACACATAGTTACTCAGCAGTAATGTCTATTATTCCAGACGAGTGGAGAGATGTTATTCAATATAATGTTACCAGGAGGAATCACTCCTCTGTGGCACCTGATCCCACCTCTGATGTTTTGAAGATCCATGATTGCTCTGCTCCTATTTTGTATTGTTTTATGGACTTCTGGTCTTGAATACTGTTCGTTATCTCCATATGTTTCATGTTTGCCTGATTTTTCGCCAATATTGAAAAATCAAAAATATGGATTTTCTTCATGCACTGTTAAAATATTTTAGAAAATATCAAGACAAAAATTGTTTCAACCTCCAATGTCAAACGAGTATTGGAAAGAGATATTAAAACTAGAGGATACAGTAAACCTTGATAACAGATGAATTAGAGTATACAGAGAGAAATAGTTTTGTTTATTTTTGTTATTCCGTTGTTAAATAGTGCATTGAATAAATAAAGTGGTTATACATATATATATATATATATATATATATATATATATATATATATATATATATATATATATATATATATATATATATATATATATATATATATATATATATAAGCACAGAGAAATTCACTTTTTATAAGGATACTCACTTCCGCCCCAGCCCGGGGTTGAACTCTCGACCTACGGAATCTGTCTCCTAGCAGTACAGGAACAGAGCGTTAGTCCGCTCCGCTATCTAGGCAAGTTCAAAAAAATTGCTTTCGATGCCGACGGAATTCTCACAAAGCTCCCCTACACTACACGGTCATTGAGCATAGAAGTGAGATACAGTTATTTGGACATTAGTTTTCGAGGATCCTTACCAATACATGTTGTGATGAAATTAATTTTATTTATAAAGCACAATTTACAACAACTCTTCAACTAATATAACTGCCCTAAGTGAAGAAATATTAATATACAAAGCACAGAGAAATTCACTTTTTATAAGGATACTCACTTCCGCCCCAGCCCGGGGTTGAACTCTCGACCTACGGAATCTGTCTCCTAGCAGTGCAAGAACAGCGCGCTAGACCGCTCGGCTATCTAGGCAAGTTAAAAAAAACTTGCTTTCGATGCCGATGGAATTCTCACAACGCTGCCCTACACAGAGGTGGGATCAGGTGCCATAAAGGAGTAAGACCCTAGCCATCCGGTCATACCCGCCGCGTGATCCTAGTCATGATCGTGAAAAAACGGGAAAACATCTGTGGAAAACGCAGTTTGGAAATGATGGCCTAACAATCAGTATGATAAAAGTCAGCTAGCATATGAATTAATGATAAATTGCATTTGCTGACAGTCATTATATCGACAATAGAACTCATCAAATGAATACTTTAAACGAGACTGTTGTTATTCTTGCTTCGTCAACTTTTTTGTCAATAGCTAGCTTACCTCGTTTTAGAAATTGTTCATACGTAGAACAGGCTCTTCCGTACCGAGTCAACTGAGATATATATACTCCGTATGCAGGTGACGAAAGTTTATTGCTGCATAAGTAAGGGAAGTTGACGATAAAAAAGTTAAAGTTGTCACTTTTATCAAAAAGCTTTGTTGTTAGATAACCATAAACGTCTTTTTGTCTTGCAAAAGATTTAAATATGAAATAGATACAGTATGTTAGACTCTGTTGTATCTTTTATTTATTGCTCACCAAGATATATCGCGTCTATATAAGAATGGAAATAACTATTTTTAATTGAAAATACTTCAATGATATATCTAAATGTCGAGTTGAAGGCCACAGCAACAAATTCTTTTTCATATGAATACTAAAACAGGTCTGTCAATGGGAATTCTAATAGATTGATGGAAGACCCGGTCTCCAAGAACCACATAAACATTGTCAATCAAAAACAATCTTTTTGATATCAACTTCAAAGTACTTGTGTGTACAATCAGAATGCTTTTAACACAGTAATTTTGCAAATGACCAATGAAAGGATAAGTACATTTAAGAGTTCCATTTTTATTGAAAAAGCAGTTGTCTATGATGTCAGAAAGTCTGCAATAGTTGTATATAAATTTTAAAAATTTTAGTTCTTATGTTTTTTGTTTTAATTTGGTAAAATTTTGAGATCAAAGGTTCCAAACGTTCCTTGGAATTTTTAAAGTATCCACATCTGATTTACACCGCTTCACAAATATATTGTTGAACAGTACTCTTGAAGTTTCTCCTTCACTACAAGAGACTTGCTAGCACATTTACAGGAACCTGCTATGTATCTTTGTTTGTAAGGATTTAAATGAAGTTTCGGTATGTAGATATGGTAATTCAAATTCATTGTGACGTCACTCCATTTTTGTTTCATTGTTTTTATAATCATAGCTTTGCGACTTTTTGTGGTTTCCCCTTATTTTTGCGAATACATTTGCCTTCTTTTTTCTTGAGTGTTGTTTTATATGTCTACTTTTCTAGATTTCTGCTTCTCGTCTTGTTTTCTCGGACTTGTATTTTATGTGCCGGTTGAGCTAGTGTAAAAAAAGACATCCACATGATATATGTAAAATAGTAATGGTTATTCATTACAAATTGGCTGTTGGCGACTTAGTAATTATTCATAATCATCCGATAGGCATCGTTATCTTTCAATCAGACCATCTAAGGATCTAAGAGTCCTAAAAAAATGTTTCTTTTTCATTTCACATCGAGAAAATATAACAAAATTGGATTTAAAAAATTGAATGTTAACGATTATATTGCACAAAAGATAAGTAAAGAATACATTTATGCGGCTTTATAGATAAATGTTCTTGTAGTAAGACGTTTATAGGAATTTGTTTAATTTTTATTATGCATGCAAGTTGGAAACCACGAAAATTGAATTAAATTGGCTTGTCATTTAATTACGTGTCATTTTCATCATCTAACTTAAAAATAAAAGCAACATAAGATCATTTTTATTATGTAATATTCTTTTAATTTTATGTCTTTGGTGCCAGAAAGTCTTCCTTAATCCTATCCACACCCAGCCTTCCCCCATTAAAGACATGACGCGTTCAGTGACCATGAACAAAAGTAAAATGAAGTGTAGCTTGATTCCATTCAGAAAGAGATAATAAAAGAATGTATATCAAATGACTTGTTGAGGGTTTTGTGATATAAACAATCGGTCATGTAGAATGAGGGAAAGAGAGGGTAGAAGATGAGCAGTATGGGTAGATTCCTGGCACTAGTGGAGAAATGATACGATCCATCCTGTTTCTCTTACTGTTCGCCACATCTCAGGAAACAGGAGAAGAAAAGGGTAGGTTCTTAGGAACTATATATAGAGATCTAGAAATCATAAACATATTTAGGGCAGGTTTATTCTCTTGTTAGAAATACATTAAGTTCACATTCTCAAGAAATGCGTAATAGTGTTTAGAGCTAAAATGGGAGGTACATGTAAATAATTTGATGTCATTTAAGGAGTATACTGCTGTAAGTATATCGGTTCTGTTTTAAAATTATTTCCAATGTTACTGAAGAAATGACTTGACACTTTTCAACTTAGCATATGTTTTGTGAACTAAGTATGTTTGGGTTAAGGTTCCAGTTAATATTTCCTAAGGAAATATTTCAGTTTACTGAAAATAACATTTCCTAGGGAAATAGTATGATACAGAATCTGAGCACATTTAAAATTGCTACATATTTTTCAGATCTCGTTTTCGTTCTAAACGCCCCTTTGATGATGTCTGATACGGACTTGTCCAATGCCGTGGATTTTATTTATAACATTACAGATCGCCTTACTATCGGACAGTCGAACACGTTAGTGGCAGCTCTCACCTACTCAGTACGATCAACTCAACACTTCTCGCTAAATTCCCACTCCACTAAGGCAGCAGTCCTAAGTTCTCTAGCCTCTCTTAAGTCTGTCAATAGAAGCCATGATGAATCGAACCCAAACGAGGCTCTGGATTTTGTGAGAGTCACGACATTGACAGGATCCCGAGCCACGTCCTCAAAATTCGTTGTTTTGATACTGATGCAAGGACCAGCTACAGCAAGCAGCAGAACAACAACTAAATGGGCGGCAGAGGATCTGTATGACGAACATAAAGTAAACTATGTGACACTTGGACTGGATTCCTTGACAGACAGCGATAAATCTCTACTGACTGATATAACCAAAGATGGATTGAAAACATTTTATGTCAGTGATTTCAAGTACAGTTGTAATGTCGTTCCAAATGTCACTAGTCTAATAGGTAGGTGGTGGCGGGTTTCTCTTGTGTCTGTAACTTTATTTTAGGTTGACTGTATTGTTTTGGTATTCGATTTCTTGGCATCCATCTGCTTTAGTGAGTTTTAATCTTCTATCTAAACATAGTCTTCTTTTCTCCAGTTTCAGTCCAAGCCAATTGCAAGCAGTATTTTCAACGGCACATACATACATCTTTGTTATTTATAAGCTAAAGTTTGAATCCATTACAACTCAAGAGGAGGGCTCATGAAAATAATATATCTCATTAGTCTCTTGCCTGGGCCTTCGAGATACAATACGATACTGATTCAGCATAAACAATGCCAAATTAGTGTGTAGGATTAACCTCTTGACATTTCTTCATGGAATTTTCACAGGTTAATGAAAAATGGAATGGGGTTGGAGGGAAGGTCCAGGATTCTTTCTCCAATTGAAAGTGTTTCATTTCAAATTGATTTTTCCCAGATAATAAAATGAATACTGCCATTATAACCCTTCTTCTGAGAGACTAGAAATTATCTTAAATATCAAACGATTTTTAGGCAAATTGTGGTTATCTTTTTCCCTCCTTTCCCCAACAAACGAATGCTGTCCAATTATTGCTTTTGAATTGGAAATCGAAATTTGAATTTAAACAGGCGGATCAAAAAATATTTTAAAGAAGTTATTCTAGAACTCTGGGGAGACGAAAGGTTATCTAATAAAAAAAAAACTCGTCTTATTTTTTCTACAATAAATATGTAAATAATTTGCTCAAGGAGAAACATTTAGTATCTTCAAACTTCAGTTTATTGTTTTCCATTTTAATGAAGCTGGGGTGTTGTTGTTTTGAACTTTTTATCAATCACAAGAACAGAGCATTTACTTTCTAGACGAATTAATTGAAAGACTCATCAGTTAAATTACATTACAAGCAGTCAGATAGTCACTTCAAATTTTGCAGTAAAAATATTGTATTACAATATGCAATTAACTTATATTCTTTCCGTTCTAAGGACCCGAAAATGAAGCCAAACGAATGAGTTTATTTTATTTTGAAAATATTTTTTGTAATTTTTTTTACTTTATGGGAGCTTACAGACATTCGTTTTTCTATGTAGTAAAACAATTTAATGTTTAAGGTTTAAATTTTCCATATATTTGAAAGAAAGGATGGGATCCTATACTCACAGTTATGCCCTACTTAATTGAGAAAGTAATATATTCTTAGATTCCTCAGCTGATACCAGCCCGATAATAAACTGTCCTGATCCTAATGCCGTGGACCCGACAACAACGCCAGCAAATGATGCTAAAGGTAGAACACAATGTATTTTGTATCAAATTGGTTTACAAGTGGTGATAAAATAAAGCAAAAATTAAACATGGCAGACTTCATAATTTACTTATAATTTTATGATAGATATATAGTTGCTATGGGTTTTTTGTAGGATCAGGTATTTTTTCGGACGGATAATTTGTTTTGTAACATTTAAAACTGGATTACATAAGATTCAATCTAAATCAATAAGTACATATAATTCACGATACTTGTTAAAGAAGAGTTAATGGGAAAATTACATTTTTGCTTTCAGTATTTTTCAAAATCCTTTTCATTTTACCAATAAATTTAAAGATATTTTTATCAACTCAATTTAATTAATCATGAATTCATGATTTAACAAGAAAACAAATTTTATAGATAAATAGTTGGGAACAATTTATAAATAATGCCAAGAAGAATTTAAATGAGTTTCTAATTTTCGTCATTTCGTTCAGCAAATTTAAATGTTTCTCTTATTGAAATCTGGTTAGTTAAAGTGCACAACAATCTTTGATTCTAATCTTTTTTAACACCTGATTAACATTCTATTGATGATATTGCAAACTTGATCGGTCGGGCTCGACATTGATTGGGGTTGACAGACCCTCCATTTCACGAGGTCAATCTACCGAAGTAAATACTTGACAGCTTCATTGGACTCTGATTTTCGAATTTGACGACGCTTTCTGTTTGTTCTTTTTCAGACATGAGTGACATGTAGTTTTTGTTTCTTTTCATGTATTTTTTTTTTCAAAATTACACACACATGCTTTCATATGAGTAATCAAAGTGGTCTATAGCACCTTGCTGACTTGTGCCATTGAGCTGTCAAAACTCAGGACACTAGAATCATGATATCATTATAAGAATAAATGTTCTCGCTTTCACGTCTGTTTTTTTTTAAAGAAAAGTAACACAAGTTTATAATAGCTGTTTCAATATTTCCTAGTTGGAACATGCTTTTCAAACTAATTTCTCAAAATCACGGTTGCTATACCCTTATTCCCACAAATAGTTATACTTAGAGAGTATCTAACAATAAAAGAGAAACGTGTTCGGTTTTAAGATTTTTTATAATATCATTTTGATATATTTTATGAAACGTTAATATTTCTAGATCTCTCTCAAAGAATGTTTTCAAAAAAGTCACTTATCAGTATCCTTAGAAGACAATTTCTTTTGAAAGATTATAAAACTTTCCATGCAAAAGTTAAAATATAAACTTTCATAAGAAAGTTTAGAATTAATTTTAACTTGTCAGATTTGTCTTTTCAAAAAGCAAAGTGTTCATGCTGTCGTACTTTTGTTCAATAAAATCTTAAATCTGAAGACATTTTCAACAAGGATCTCCATCCAAAATAAATTAATGTTTCTTTGGTTTTTAATTTTCAGATAATTCCCTGCTTTTAGTCGTCATTGGTGCCATTATAGGAACCCTCCTAATCCTAGCCCTCCTGGTGGTGGCCTATAAGTGTGTCAAGGTGAACGCAGTTAAGGACATGCGAGTCCTGAGGGCTATAGAGGTGTACGGGGAGGCCAAGTTCGGGACATCTAAAGAAGCCTTCTGCCAGAAGGATTTTATGGGGTCCGGCACGGGAGGAAGGACACAATCGGACGATTCAGTTTTCAATACGCGACTGTTCTTGGCCCGAAACTTTGCAAACGGACAAACCCATACGTTCAACAATAATATATGAAGCACTGGTCAATTAATGGTCAATCCAGCTTGATATAAATAGGACCTCTGCTCACCAGAGGCTAGACATAGGATTTCCACAAGACAATGCAATTACAATGTCAATATACTTTGAAAGCAGAGTATGCATGTTGTTCAAAATGTTCAAGATACATATGCATATCATGAAGTATCTCATGGTGATAGAAAACGAAGTGTCAAATAATCAACGATTAATATAGCTTATTGTGTTAACATACATGTAATGTTTACCTAGCTCGTCTTCAAATTTTTAGGATAAATTATTTTATTTATTTTCGAGACTTCGCAAGCTTTATGAAGGGAAATTGAAGGCTTTCTTCTCTTAAGTTCTTGCAATTGGATCGGCGTAGGCTTTCTTCTAATTAACTTTAATTTTACCATGTGAACTTCTTGAAACATTGCTATTAGAATGGCAGCCCTGTACTTTTATATTGGTAGATACTTATTGTTATGATCTGGTGTTAAATTTACTTCTATTCAAGTAGGTAAAACTTTATAGCATTGCTGTTTATTTTAAATAAAAATCAATTTATCAAGAGCCTCTGTCTTTCTTTATATATAATTCACCGTTCTTATAAGAATACAACATTGTATTTCAAATGAAAATCGGTGTGTTAGAATTTTAAGATCAGAGAAATTAACTTTGCCGACTAAATTAAATGTCCGGACATCTGTCGATTTGTTATTTCAACAGAACTCCTTCAGAGCTATTGGTACTCGATCATTTCTAATTAAAAGGTATATGCAAACCACTGAAAATAGGTATCATTTCGGTTTTTTTTTTTTTTTTTTTAATATTGGATAAATGACAATCAGGTAAATATAAAACAGGCATATTTTACTCATTTCACTCTGATTCTTATTCTTATTTATATATCTATATTTAACTTTCCTCTACCTGTGTTTCCAAATGATAATGAATTTCATATCTATAAAAAATTGTATTAATTTAAAGAAGTGTAATTAGGATATTTTAAATTACAATTCATAAATTGACATTGTACAAAATTTTATAATAACATTTTACTTATAAGTTATAACAAATGTCACTTTAAGAATTTTCGAATGAATTTAATATCAGTACTAGTATTCTTCAGTGGAAAAAACAAATCTAGACTATACGTTTTATTGTACTGTTAACTACTTGCCCCCTAATCTTCTTGAAACTTTAATATACTTGGATTATTTTTTTATCATTTGTAAAATCTTGTTTATTTGTAACTTGGATAGATCACATTTGGCTCCATGCATCTGAAACATCCGCCAATATACACAACTGACAGCGCGCGCATCACACAATGACTACAGAATCCTTCTTTTTCTGAATTGGTTCAAATAATTCCATCATATCATTAACTGTGATCAAATATTAAAATATTTATTGAAATCACTGAAAAAAGATTTTTTTCCCAATATATTTTCCTCTAGCAACATCTTTGTGCTCAAGAATTTGTCCCCTTGTTATATTAGGAAACAAATTGGTAGCAATTGTTTCGAGAGAGAAAATTGTACAAACTTCTAATTCGTCTTATTTTTGAGTTTGTTTGTTTGTTTTTTTTTAATTCTTTCCAAAAAAAAGATGAAAGGTAACATATTGTAAACTTAAAAGTTTTTTTAAATCTATAAGTTTCCTTACATCCATAATTCATAAATCCATAATTCCTTACATATTCATTATATATTTACACTAAAAAAAATTCAAATAAACATGTAACGACAACAGTTCTTAAAAATATTTCAAATTAAATTTGTGTTAAAAAGTTGGGAAAACTTTAAAATTCTGATATAAGTAAAAAAAAATTATGATCTAAGGACCTGATTACAAAATTTTAATCATATGACCGTGATTGCGTACCATTTGCGCCCACTTACATGCAGACCTATTTTTGTATGCATGTTTAGCAAACTTCAATCCAAGGCTTATACGTGAAAAGAAGAAAAACCTTTGCTGTTGCCTACAACTCGACGTTTGTATACATATCGACGACGTATTGTCAGATTAAAAATGGTTATTCCTCTCTTATGTCGATATATATCCCGCTGAGCTTGGAGCAAAAGATACCACAAAGTCTGACACATCTGTTTCATATTTGGATATTTTACTTGAAAAAGACGTTAATGGTAATCTGACAACCAAGCTATATGATAAACGTGATGACTTAAACTTTTCTATTGTCAACTTCCCTTACTTATGCAGCAATATACCTTCATCACCTGCATACGGAGTATATATATCTCAGTTGATCCGATACGCAAGAGCATGCTCTACGTATGAACAGTTTCTAAAACGAGGTAAATTATTGACAAACACATTGATGAAACTTACCTTACTTGTGCAGCAAAATATATCAACTGCATACGAGGTTTACATCTCAGTTGATTCTATACGCAAGAGCATGCTCTATGCATGAACAAGTTCTTAAACAAAAGTAAGTTACTGAAAAAAAAATACTTCATTCTCGTTTGAAGTCATCATCTCCTAAGTTCTATAGTCGGATACAATGACTTTGTAAATATACAATCTACTTAAGTCAAATGATGACTAAAGTTTTTCATACGAATTGTTAGACCATTATTAACACACTGAATTGATTGTTCCGTTATTTTCCGTATCATGACAAGAGCACACGGCAGGTGTGACCGTTTGGTAGGGCATGCTCACTCCTTCATGGCACTTTACCCAAAATCTGATACTCTGAAGGTCCGTGTTTGTTCTGGTCCTACTTTGTATTGTAAAATGGACTTTTGAGCTTGAATAATGTTCGTTATTTCCATATATTTCATTAATATCGTTACTTTTATTTTGCTGTAAGTTGTTAAATAAAACTGAATAAAGTTATTTTATTTAAATTTAGGTTACGACCCACCGATGCATTATTGTCAGACGACACGTTCCTAAATAATAATATTTGGCTGTTGAATGTTTGATACTTTAGTATACTTTTTTAAGATATTTTCCTAGTCTTTTTCTATTTGGACATTGTGGGAAAAATTTTAAAACTCATAAGATAATGATTATTATGATGAATTTGTTGCACATTTCAAAGAGATACAAAACAGACTAACAATTCCAGGTCAATTTTCAAAACTTGGTAAAAGATTCTTTTGATCGAACTATACAAGTGTAAAATCTGTTTTTGGATGTTTAAATGAACTCTAAGTACTCTCAGTAATTTACAAGTCATCAAGCCGTGACCAAGTTAATAAACTCAAACATAAATTCTTATTTTTCACTTCAGCTTTAGGTCCAAGTATCTCCTTCGCACGCGTGTAAACAGGCAAACGGACTTTTGAGTGGTCAGTGTGTTTTTAACAAAATGCTTACGTCATTCTGTAGTAAGAGCTCTAATGACCGCAAAGGGAGGATTCGGTACTCTCTCTTCTCTACAAAACTGGGTTTTAACTTTTAATCTTGATGTCATTGTCACAAAGGACAACGAGGGGATGAAATGAAGTTTAAATTACAGGGTAACGGTTCTGGTTTATAATTTCTGGTAATGATTCCACTTATTACAAATGCTGGAATCAAGTGACCGAAGAATCAACATTTCAATATTTATTCAACAGCCAAATATTGGTTATTACGATTTTAACATTAGTTGTATTATTGAACACAAATAGTTTACATGATAGAAAATGTTTCTTATGAGTAATTTAGGTCTTATTATGTTGACAAGTAAACTGCACTCTATCAAGAACTTAATAATCATAATGGTGTATCCAGGCCATTGTTATTACAAGAAAAAAATAACGGTCACACGATACTCCTTTAGAAAAACCTTTCTCTTTAAATTCGAAATATAGAAACTTTTTGACAGGAAAACAAAGGTGCCCCCTGAGTCGATGGAACTTGTCAAATGATCCATGTTTCATAGAGTTGGTTCGGTTGGAACAAGAAAACAACTGCACAGTCCCCCGGGAGTGTCCGGGAAACTGACCGGGTACAATGTGGGTGTTAGCCGTCCTCTTCCTGGCATCCGTCACATTCTGTATACAGAACGGTCAGTATATTTTAGAATATAGTTTCTTTGTAAAAAAAAAAATCTAAGTAATTTTTGTTCAATATGCTAGAAACTTAAACATGCAATAATAATTCAATTCAAAACTGAAAATTCAAAAATAATTTGTTGAATTTAATTTTTTCCAAAGATACCTTGGTATAAATAATTTCTTTGTTTTTTAATCATTTTATGGAGCGGAACATTTTTGGGGTTTCATTTGAGGCAATGTCTTGGTATTTATTGCCATTAAGTGACACAATTTGAATAGGTAATATCACTTCATTTGCATACTAAGGAAGTTATAACACCAATTCAAATCAGAGTAGCAAGATCCTAAATAGGATTAAATTTTTAGTGACGTGGTCGATCTGGACCAACAAAGTCTCAGAAGAAGGGGTCCCGATTCCTAGGCATAATTAAAAAAAGACATCTTTGAAAGTTTTCAATTGTCACCTGAACGTGATCCTTACAAATCCCAGTAAGTGATGTAGAGACCACGCAGTCATCCGGATGACACTGAAAAAAAAAAAAACAGATTCGATGCCATAGTATTATAAAAAATGTCTGCTGGCACGAAAAGTATCCCTCTTGCACTGATGAATGACCAACAGTGCCGAATATAACTATAGCATTTGAAGCGGCAAGTGATAGCGTCTCAATATGAGTGAAAAGGTTTCGGAAGGGACGTTAAACCAAAAAAAGTAATTTAAAAAATCAACAAGAAATAGAATAAAGTAAGCAAACAAAAGTCAAGTTATATTTATCATGCAATTATGAAAAACCTGGTGAGATGATCGATTTACAAAAATTTAAACAATTAAAATTAAAAGTTAGTACTAAGACACACATTATTAATTAAAGTTCAGAAGTAGGCCCTAACACTTTTTTTTTCACTTTTCAGAATACTCTAAAATGTTAGCGAGGCATGTGCCTTCAGGCTAGTTTCGCGCCGACTTTGGATAGATGATATCACCAATTCCAAAGTATATTAGATGATATCAACTATTCAAAAGCTTAAAATAATTGATATCACCAATTCGAATAGGTGGTATTACCAATTGAATATTCCAATATATCCTTACATGCATGAAAAGTTGACACTTATGTTGACACTTATGTGTAATGGCAGCAATTACCAAAACAAAGGCCCCTAGCAGTTTTAAAACAATTTTTAAACAATTTTTGCATATATTATTCAAATAAAATTGTTTTATTTGAATTGTTTTAAATCTGGAAATGATTTTAATTTCAGATATCGTTTATGTGATTGACATCTCAGGAAGTCTTTCTCAGTCAGATCTGAATTACTCGGTGGATTTTCTCGACGACATTACACGATACTTAGCCATTGATTCCAGCAATAGTAAAATATCCATTGTGACATTTTCGAGTGTTTCCACGGTACAGAATGATTTTAATTCCTTGTCTAGCCAGTCCGATGTTCTCAATGCATTACAGAATCTGAAATCGCTAACCACTGCAGGAGGCACCAAAACCTACCTAGCACTGAATGATTCATACGATCTTCTGACTTCCGGTTCCGGTGGCATGCGCAGTGGTGTTAACAAAACAGTAGTGGTTCTTACTGATGGGAAGTCAGATAATCTTCTGTATACACAAGCTGCTGCAGACAATCTGCACAACAACGGGATTGAAGTATTCTCTGTGGGAGTTGGGAGCGATTTTACGTACGACACGACTGAACTGAACGCCATTGCAAGCGATCCAGACTCCTATTACCAGTATGCCATTGAGAATTTCACCTACCTGTGTAATGTGGTCCCGGCTCTAGCTGTCAAATTGGGTAATTTGGGATTAAAATCCTGTAGAATTAACCTTTAGGGTTAAACAACATCTTGACATTGATAGAATACAATTAGTCCATTTTGATTTCTTTAATTATTCCACTGCTTTTAACCAATAAATTACATAAATATTTTTCGTACAGATCCAAGTTTAAGCGCAATAACGCTGCCCCCTGATTGTATGACAACTACGACTACAACTGCTAGTCCTAAAAAGAAAAAAGCAACTGAGGCACCAACAACCGAAACCACCGCCGACACCACCACTACCACTGAAGTTACAACTACCACAACAGAAAGCGCTACCACAACCACTCAAACCTCTACAGAAAGCCCTACCTCAGCATCTATCGTTACCAGTGCTCCAGCGACAACAGCTAGCTCTACGACAAGCGGTGTCGTGACAACGCTTACATCCGATACCACGACTTCCGCTAATGGGACGGCTGGAAGTTCTCAAAACCAACGATCCTCCGCTAACGACGAGTCTTGTATGTATTTTCATTACAGATATTCATGAATGCATTTGAATCCTAAACACATGCGCAAATGCAAGGTTCGTCTAAATTATGTTAGATTATGTATACACGTGTAAATAATTTTCAAAGTAAATGCGGTTTTGATGATTCCTATTTCAATTTCAGCGTTATCCATTCCTATCATAGTTGTGGGGGCTACAGCTTCTCTCCTTCTTCTCTCCACCATTCCCGGGGGCTACTTCATGTACAAGGCCGCCATTAGGAGAAAAATCCACCAGGAGGAAAAGGAAGAGGAAGTCAGACACGCTATACAGCCCTATGAGAATTCGTTACCAAAGCATTTAGGCCCAGGAAAACCAGCTTGGCAAACCTAGATTTACCAAGAAGAGGCGTATTCTTTGTGAAAGTACTCGGTGCTACTTTGTGGAGAATGCTGTATTAATGTAGATTTATATAAAACATCATGTCGACCCTAAAACGTTGATAACAGTCACTTGACTTGCGGAGAAAAATTTGCATCTATTAACCTTTTTTGAATTGAAAAGAATTTTTTAAAGAATTTTCGTCTGACAAAATTTCCAAGGTCGGCGATGATTCCGAACGCCTCCACATTGGGAAGAAGGCATTTTGCAAATTATTTTCAAACAATTATTCTGGTTTGGCAGTCACCTCAACAGCAATTTGTTAGCTGTACTATGTTACAAATTCTTCAGTATTAAATAATCTGTGATATGGCCTGTAAACTTGGCCAGTATTTGGATTTACATATTTTAATGTAATTATTATTTTTATATATCTAAAATTTCAATAAATTATGCGCAACCATTACATTTCGTGGGGTTCAGTTTTCGAGGATTTTTGTGGTAACACAGTATCCTGGAAAAATTCATCTTCTTTTAAATTGATTTTAATTATTGTTTGTGAATATATACTGTAAACAAACTTTTATTTGCGACGACTTTATTTCGCGATTTACCTGGAATAAACTAGTTCGCGACGATTAATTTTCGCGATCAAGCCTATTTTGATCTGTTGTAAATAGACACAGATACTTCTAGTACGATTTTGGCGATGATTTATATATATCTCTTCCAACCGCAGATTTTTCACGGTCTTTACTACGTGATACAGGGTATTTTCAATTGTAACTGTAACAAGATGTGAAAAGTTCGAAGTCTCAACAGCAAATGATCGTCAAATATAGTGTCATCCTTAGTTGACAGATGATGATTGGCCAAATATCAGCGCTATATAAAAACAAACTGCTGACGGATAGTTCGTGGTATAATCGGCGTAAGGTCATTGTAGGATCTTCAGGAACGTAGTGGGAGCGTTGTACGAGCGTACTCGATATAGTTCTTGCGCTTTTTATACGATCATGAAGATCTTTCCATGATCCTTCCCCGTTGTTGTGCGATTACGGCGCTTCTACTACGCTCTGTTTACGACTTTACCCTGAGTCTTGTCGGCCACGATCCCGCTACGCTTGTTTTTAGCATGGCGCGAGCGTAGAGCTCTTCGATCATGAAGACTCCACCGCGATCATACTGCGCTAATGAAGACTCCACTACGTTTCTCCTGCAATTTGTCACGATCGGCAACCTTTTCGGCCACAATTTGATCGTAGAAGAAGCGGCGTCTACGTTTGAACGGAGGGTTAGAGGCACGGGAAGGAGAATAAGAAACTTAACAAATTCTGTTTTCACTGTATTTTTCAACTTTCTATTCCTGAGCGTTCAAACAAGAGTGACGTAACAAGAGGATTTTACATGCAGGTTAATGTACAAGAAACACCCCATTGCTTTAAAAAAAGTAAATTTTAAAAGTTCCTGAACGGGTTTACCATTTGTGAATACCTGAAAGGAACATTTTTTTTTAACGAAAAAAATGAAATACTTGAATCTTACTAAAATGATTAACATCAAAACGTACAACTTTTCCCCCTCAATTTCCGAAATTGAAGAACGTTTTCTCTGGCATCACAAATGACGACTTCTTCAGTGAAAAAGAAACTCATGAATTGCTGCGACCATCAGTGTACAATTTCTTAATATTTAAGCCTTAATGGTCTTCCATTTCCAACGGAAGACCTTTTTCTGATTCTGATGATTAAGATTATTCTTGTTTTTCTTGTTTTTCCTTTTCCTAGACACCAGCTTTGAGGCCTCATATTTCACTCATTTCTCAATGGATTTTGCTCATATTTTCAGAGTTTATAGTTGTTACTAAACTCTATCAGAATTTTGTTCCAATATTTCACTTCCGCTTTTGAGTTATTTCCCTTTAAACAAAAATTTATAGGCTTTCATTTCCAGACAAAGGCTCGGAGATGGCAAAAGCTGGAGCAGAAATTTTACTGATTTTAGATAATAAAAGGATTGAAGTTGTGCACAGTGGTTTTTGTTTTTTGATTTCTCTATTCAAAATGGTGCTATATAGGGGTCAAAAATTAGAACGCCTAAAAGAGCGAAAATTTACACATGTTTAAATTGCTTTTTATCTTCTAAGCTTAAAATATTTTGATAAAGCATATAGAACAAAATTTGTGCAGAATTACAAGATCTTTCAAATGATATCTAGAAAAAAGGGCTGACCTCTAATTTAAGGGATCTAGAGGGGCCAAAAATTTTTTCAAGATATCTCAAAAAGTATTGAGAATTTGTCATACATCAAAGAAGCAAAGTTGTTCAAAATCTCTAGTAGCATCCATTAGGATCATCAAAATACGTCCTGTGACGTCACTTCCGACCAAACCGAAAGTAGTCAGAAAATGCATATTTTTGCCGTTCTTGACACGTTTTTGGGAAGCATTTGTCACTGGAACCATAAAACTTTCTGTCCGTAGACGTCACTTCCGGTCGAACAGGAAGTATAAAAAATGGCTTACTTTTGCAATTTTCTACATACATTTGGAAGATTTAAATCATTAGAGACGTCATTTCTCTTCTTTTTTTAAAAATAAAAGTTACTTCCGGTCAAACAGGACGGAAGACATACTCGTTGCTTTGCAACGAGCTTTGCTCTAGTTTAGAATTTATTATTCTGATCATTTACAACCAAACAAAATCAAAAAGTTTCTATCAATTCAAACATCCATTTTTTTTTTCGAATCACCTCTCCTTAAAGTCGTCATAAGTTCTTTGGTTGTTTTACCTAGTCAGCAACGGCAGTTTATCATGAAGTCAAATGCTGACTGACGTTTTTCATACTATAAATAAGACCAGTATTTACACACGGAATTGGAGAAGGAATTCTTCGTTATTTCTCTATCATGACAAGGAGCACACGGCGGGTGTGCTCCTCCATGGCACTTGATCCCACCTCTGATGTTTTATAGGTGTATGTTAGCTTTGCTCTATATTTGTATTGTTTGATGGTCTTTCAAGCCCCAATACTGTTTGTTATCTCCATATATTTCATATAGACTATATGCCGCCATGCTTAGTTGTTGGGCCCTGTCTGCTTTTTTCTGAAAAGAATTCGTCATTAATTTTGATGAGATTTTTTCCTCCAGAATGCGGGGATATTAAACTTCGAGATGATTTAAGAACTTGGCTTTTGTGAAGCAGCCGTTTTATAAACTAATTCTCTGACTCCCTATTTCGAAAATAAAATACATGGAGAACACTTTAACGTAAACTTTTTAAGATCAAAGGTCCATTCAAACAATATAAAATAGGACCAGAGAAAACACGTACATCTGAACATGACTAGAGCTCTCTAAGACACCAAACTTAAATTTCCTATTCCCTATTCTACATGATCTTAAATACAAAAGATATGAAGGTTAAGAACATTGATCAATGTTCTTGATGTGTATATATGTTGATAGCGAACAGTATTCAAGCTCAAAAGTTCATTGAACAATACAAATTGGAGCACAGCAAACACAGACCTTGAAACATCAGAGGTTGGTTCAGGTGCCAAGAAGGAGTAAACATTCCCTGCCCATGGGTCACACCCGAAGTGTGTACCTTGGCATGATCAAGTAAATTATGAGAAAATCCTTTGACAATTCAGTGTATAAATAATGGAGTGACATTTAGAATTAAAAATGTCATTCAATCTTTGACTTAATGTTAGATTGGTTTTGCTGACGAGATTGTAATATCGACCATATCCTTTACGAAATTTTGACAATAAACATGATGTCTTTGATTTATTGATTTGTTTGTCAATAGCTTGTCTCGTTTCAGAAAGTTTTTTGGATCTATGGGTATACATTCTGTAACATGCTCTTGCATATCGAAAGAACTGTGAGGAATAACCACATTTGCACATATACACACCGGGTATATAAACTAGTAAACAAGTAAACTATTAATAGAAAAGTTGAAGTCGTCACGTTTATCGTAAGGTTTTATCGTGTTGTTTATTCTAAGTTAAGTCTCGCGAGATGTGACTATATTTAAATCACTCGAGTGGCGGCTGTCGGTCCGTGCAGTCGTAGTTTTCTGCCTCGCTGCCCAACAGTTTTTGTTAGCTGTAGCGTTGTCATATGTAAGTATATTTATTTATTTGTAATACTAGCTTGGTGCTAGTATATATTTTGGTGAAACAGTTGGTAGGTTCGGCCGAGAACTGTTGTTTTTAGTGGACCGGGGGTCCATTTTTAATGTAAATTTAAATTGATAATTTGCTTTCGGGAACCTTGGAGGTTCATACAGTTTTAAGAGTAAGATTCAATGGACCGGGGGTCCGTTATTTTATGTAGAGATAATGGGATTTTTCTTTATATTTGATTTGCATGGTTTTAATCTGGATATGTGTGAGCTGTTGTTACATGAACGTAATTCAAACAGCTCTAGAATGCGAGGAGCATTTTATTATGTGGGATTTTGTTGGACATTTTCCATCGGACTCAATTATAAGTGATTTTGATAGTAAAATTTGTGAATACATGTTTGCTATTCTTGAAATTTTGTTTGGAATGTGTTATTTATACCTGTCGGTGAACTAATTTTGTCCGGCGAGTGGTGTTCACCGGCGTGTGACGAGGTATTACAAGGTGTAAAATCTCGTGCGTGTTTGGTTTAAGTGTACAGTGAGTCTATGTATATTGAGAATTCGTGATATTTATTAGTGTAAGAAAAAAAAAATCTTTTTAAGTACAGAGGAGCATCATTTATCCGGACGCTTTGGTTCCTTGTCAATTTGACCGAATATGTGAAACATCCGGATATCTGAATTACCAATTAAACAAGACAATATAACATAAAAAAAATTCTGTTCTGCTGAAAAGTCGTCCGGATACTGAAGCATCCGGATATCTGGCGTCCGGATATCTGAAGGTCCACTGTATTGGGAATGTTTAAATATTATATTTTTGACGTTTTTAGAGCGAAGTAAGAATGGCTGTGGTGCTAAAACCCAGGCACAGTTTAATTGGGAAAAGTTTGGTGCCAGTAGTTTTGAAGTTAAAAGCTTCAGATGGTAATTCGGAGGATTTGACGTTGGCCAGGTGAGCAATATATTATAATGCAT